CCTCGGCGGGAGCGCCGCCGCGCTTCCCAAGTGGCGCACTGTAGCAGTGCGCCACCGGGCCGGCCCAGGATTGGGGTTTAATTTTATTTCACAAAGCTGGTTTGCTAAAACTGCTTTTTACTTAATGCCCATTACTAGGCCAAGTTCCTTGTCTTTGCCTTATGCTCAGTCAGCCTTTTCCCTTTCATACAACAGAACAGCAGGATAACCTGACAGATAGAGCATTTTATTTGTAAGATCTATGCCACCTAACTTTAAGAAAGAAAATAATTCCATCCCTATCCCTAAAAGAACATCTTTTAAGCTTTCCTCTCAACCTGAGCCAGAGCATCTCAGAAATCCCAATTCTTTTAACTCAAATCTCCACAGTGGAGTAGATGCATAACTCCCCTGGGAAGGCAGTCTGAGACAGGCAGAGCTGTTTAACAAATATGTGGGGAGCTCTCTGGCAGAAAGGATGGCAGGACACACACAGCCCCTGAGCCAAGCTGTGGCATGGGCAAGGATACCAGGTGCCTGACAACAATCTCTCCGTCTCAGCTGGGGTGGAGCAGCCCACTCAGCCCTGAAACAGAGAGCCTTGGGAGGTGTCTCAGCTGAAGGTCAATGTCTCTGCGTCTCCAGCTTGGGAAGCGGAGTTGGATGGAGGGGTAAATGCTTTCTTGCCTTCAGCGAGAACTTTAAAATGCTATGAGGAAAGAGGAGAGAAAACATTAAGTTTTTAGGATAAGTTACTTACTACATTTTAGCAGGAACTAACCTCTTAAAAACCCCTTTAAGCTCCAATTTTCTCCCAATTCTGTTTCCAAAACAACTCCTTGGTGTTGTCTTTGATCCTTTTTCTTTTATTGGTGTTGTGTTTGAAAAAAGAGCTGGAGATTTGCTCCACCTTCTTCAAAAATGAATGCTTTTTACTTCCTCCCTGCTTCCACGCATTAGGCCTCTTGGTTCCCCAGTAATAATAAGCGTCCTCTGCAGATTCTCAGCTAGCTTCATCCAAGGCCCACGTCTCTTCTCCTTTCCTCTTCCTTTGAAAACCCCGCCCCTCCAGCTTTGCTGTTTTCTTAGTGATGGGCAATGGCAATGGTAACTCTGGGCGGAGACACCCTCCATTGCCATAGGACGCAATCACAGTAGGCTCAGGGTAGTGGTGACCGCAGTGATCCTCACTAAGGCATGTCAGCCCCTGATGTTTGTCTCACCTGTGAGTTCTTGAATTCCGAGTAGACGGAAAAGAGCAGGTGAAGGGACTGAATCCGACTCTTGTAGACAGGGATGTCTAGGATGGCTGAAATGAAGAACAACTCCCAGGAACAGAACTAAACAAACTCTGGGAATTAGGGGGCATTTCTGTTTAGGATAGCCAGTCCCCTCCCAGATGGGATATGTTATTATGACTTTGGAGGTTGTAGGGAAAGTGAAGGAAAATGGTCAGGACCCCTAAGGTGTTCAGAATCTTGCTGAGCATTTGATGTAAATATGCACATGCGCCCAGGTGTTCCTTGGTTATTGTCTAATGTAATTGCGCATGTGCCCCCAGGTGTCCTGGGTTATAGACTTAAGTATAAAGGATGAGTGGCTCTAATCCATGGGGTCCCCCCACCCCCGCCACTGGGCTGCCCTCGAGGGGGGGGGGCATAGGAAGGCGCTACTGCTGCTGGAGGATGTTGCTACCAGTGCCCCCAGGATGCCCTGAGGCCACCGCCGCCGCTGCTGCTGAGGATTGAGCTTCTGTCGTCTGCCAACCGTTCCCAGGATCTTTCCCAATTACCTAGAATGGACCTGCGTGAGGGGTCTGGTGACCCAGTCTGTACAATGGGTTTGAAGGGTCTGAGTGCTAGCCCTGACAATACAAATGGAAACTTAGTATAACTAAAATAATGAAATGTTTTGGCTTTAGTTATCAATAGCCCAAAGAAGACAACTGGTGTAGTCGTGTAGCTTTACAGGGGTTAACTACCTAGCAAGTATTCACATAAGCCCAAACACCACCCTTAAGTGATGCCAAATAGCACAACTGGCTTAAAGTGAAGGTTGTAACTCAAGATGCCGTCTTCCCAGGAGTAAACAAGCCTTTTCAAAAGCCTGGAATATATCTATCCAGAGACAGCGATGAGGAAAGGATGGAGAAGCTTACCACAGATCATGTCAATGTATTCTGTCAGACTGCAATCAATCTCTGCTGTGGGCAGGCTCACCTAGAAGGGGCGTGGGATGGACCAAAGTCAAAAAGTTGAAGTTTTGGTGGTCCCAGAACCACGCTCTCTCTCTCTGAAGGATAAGAGCTCCTAGCATAAGACATGTGTTATGGGCTGAATTGTGTTCCCCCAAAATTCATATTTTGAGGTCCTAACCCCTGTACCTCAGAATGTGACTATATTCGGAGATAAGGTCTTTAGAGATAAGTTAAAATGAGGTAATCAGGTTGGGCCCTAATCCAATATGCTGGCGTCCTTACAAGAAATTAGGACACAGAACATATAGATGGAAGACCATGTGAAGACACAGAAAAGATGGCCAAGGAGAGAGGCCTCAGAAGAAATCAGCCCTGCTGACAACTTGATCTTGGAATGCTAGTCTTCAGAACTGTGAAAAAATAAATTTCTATTGTTTAAGCCACCCAATCTATGGTACTTTGTTATGGCAACCCCGACAAATGAACACATTCTCTCCCCTTCCCCCCATGAGTAAGATAGAATTATTCATACTCATTAACCACCAAAGTAGCAGATGATCCATTAGGACCAAAAGATTTTATAAGTAAAATATACTGCCATTTCTGAGTGGACTTGTGAAGAAAAAACTGGTCCCAGCTTATGGCCAAGTATTTATACTTACTTGGTACTATAATGCCTAATGGTCCTAAGACACCATAGGAACAGAAAAAAGGGACATGACATCTCAGGTGACAGACTCTGGATCTAAACAAACCATACTGTAAGTTAAAAAACCATTGGCTTCTTGGACTACTTAGCTCAGTTGGTTAGCATGTGGTGCTGATAATACCAGATCCAGGGATCAATCCCTGCACCAGCCAGCCACCAAAACACAAACCACTGGCTGCTTAAAACTTTTTTTTCTGGGGCCGGCCCGGTGGTGCACTGCTACAGTGCGCCGCTTGGGAGCGCGGTGGCGCTCCCGCTGAGGGTTCGGATCCCACATACAGACCGGCCGCTCACTGGCTGAGCGAGGTACAGGTGCAGCGCCGAGGGTTGCGATCCCGTTGCCGGTCCTGGTCTGGTACGGGCGCGACGCTGAGGGTTGCGATCTGTTGCCGGTCACGAAAAAAGACAAAAAAGGAAAAAAAAAAAAAACAACTTTTTTTTCTTTTACAAAAAACAGAGTGCATATAGTTCTGCCATCTGCTTTTTTCATTTAATAACATATCATTGCTATTTCTTCATTTCAGAGCAAAATAAGGCCAAATAATATTCCATTGCATAATATTTCACTGAATGGATGTACTACAATCTGGCTATTCAATCCCCCAATCACAATTTTCCTCAGCTACAGCTTTAAATGCTATAAAGATTTTTTCAAATTTTTGCTTTTACAATCAGTTCCTCAATAAATATGTACAAAAAAATCTCTTTCTTCATGGAGCTTACATTTTAGTAGGGAGAAACTAAATAATTAAGTTATATAGTATGTTAGAAGTTAAGTGTTAGGGAGAAAAAGCAGGGTAAGAGGATGGGGAACTTTGGGGAGCTGTTAATCTTTGTTCAGTTTTCTTTTTTTATGGATATGTAAGAGTTCTTTGCCTGGAGAATAATCTTATCTATTATATATTTATATAAAATAGATAAGTTTTTTTTGGCTGGCCAGTACAGGGATCAAACCCTAGACCTTGGTGTTATCAGCACCATACTCTAACCAACTCTGAGCTAACCAGCCAGCCCATGTCATTGTCTTTTAACTTTGTATATGGTATCTATTCGTACTTAAATTTTATTTCTGTGAGTCTAAACTGTCACATTTTCCCCATTATGACTTTTAAATCTCTTTTGCTGAGAAACACCTAACCATCCAAATAGTGTTAAATTTCTCCTATATTTTCTTAAGGTACACATATAGCTTTATTTTTTTAATTTTAATTTTTTTTAAAGATGACCAGTAAGGGGATGTTAACCCTTGACTTAGTGTTGTCAGCACCACGCTCTCCCAAGTGAGCTAACAGGCCATCCCTATATAGGGATCCGAACCTGTGGCCTTGGCGTTATCAGCACCGCACTCTCCCGAGTGAGCCACGGGCTGGCCCTGACACATATAGGTTTATTTTTATGTTAACTTTTTAATTCATTTGGAATTCATGTATGGATATGGTTGAGGCATAATTTTTTTCAAATGGATAGTCAAGTGTCTTATCACAACCTCATTCTATCTGCAATGCTTAAAAAACTACCTTTCTAATATACCAAGTTCCCACATATACATGGGTTTGTTTCTGGTTAGTATGTGCCACTGATCTATTTGTCTATTCCTATGCCAGTACCTTATTGTTTTATTTATATATAACCTTATAATGTGTTTCTGATGTCCAATAACGCAAATCCTCCATCTTTTCCCCCTGAGATTTACATGATTAATCTTAAAACTTTATTCTCACAGATAAGGTTTACTATTAATGTTTCAATTTCTGAAAAAACAGTGAAAATTCTGATCGAAATGGTATTACACTTATGTAGTAAATTGGGGAAGACCTACAGCTCTGTAAGACTGAATCCTCCCACCCAGCAACATGGTTTGAGTCCTCATTCATTCAGATCTTGTTTTATGCCCTTCGTTAAAGTTTTATATTTTGCTTTCAAAAAGGTCTTACCGGGCCAGCCCTGTGGCTCACTCGGGTGAGTGAGGTGCTGGGAGCACAGTAGTGCTGGGAGCGCCGAGGCTGCGGGTTTAGATCCCATATAGGGATGGCCGGTGCGCTCACTGGCTGAGCACGGTGTAGGCAACACCAAGCCAAGGGTTGTGATCCCCTTACTGGTCACAAAAAACAAATCAAAAAGGTCTTACCAATTTCTCTTTTCTTCTCTTTTTTTTTTTTTTAAAAGATGACCGGTAAGGGGATCTCAACCCTTGGCTTGGTGTTGTCAGCACCACGCTCAGCCAGTGAGCAAACTGGCCATCCCTATATAGGATCCGAACCCGTGGCCTTGGTGTTATCAGCACCGCACTCTACCGAGTGAGCCACGGGCCAGCCTTCTTTTTTCTTTTTTTTTTTGTTTTTTCCTTTTTTTGTCTTTTTCTGTGACCGGCAATGGATCACAGCCCTCAGTGTCGCGCCCGCACCAGACCGGGACCGGCAACGGGATCGCAACCCTCGGTGTTGCACCCGCACCTCGCTCAGCCAGTGAGCGGCCGGTCTGTATGTGGGATCTAAACCCTCAGCGGGAGTGCCGCCGCGCTCCCAAGCGGCGCACTGTAGCAGTGCGCCACCTTTTTTCTTTTTTTTTAAAGATGACCGGTAAAGGGATCTCGAACCTTGACTTGATGTTGTCAACACCACTCTCTCCAAAGTGAGCCAACCGGCCATCCCCATATAGGGATCCGAACCCGTAGCCTTGGTGTTATCAGCACTGCACTCTCCCAAGTGAGCCATGGGCCGGCCCTACCAATTTCTTATTAAATTTATTCCTGGAGTTGCTGGGTGGGACCAACAAAGATGGCAGCAGCCCCTGTGGCTGGAACAATCTGGACAACAGCTGCAGCTAAAGCTGCAGCCCGGCCCGTGAGGGGCTGCACGGGGGTAGTAGGGGGTAGCCCTGAGCTGCAACCTCACCCTGGCTAGCCTCCCCTGCAGCCTCACTGGGGTAAAGGTCCAGCCTGTGGGGTCCACAATTCCCCAGGCCTCTGAGCACCACCTGGGCCAAAACCAAAAGCTACCTGCTAATGTCCAGCCCTGAGTGGGATCCAAGCTACCATTTGCCCCCCCCAGGCCTGCAGCAAAGAGCACTGCCACCCAGCCCCTAGGCCAAACCCCATGCTATGACCTCTGTCTCCTAGGCCAGGGCCACCTGATGAACAGCTCAAGAAATTGGAGCTGGGACGGGGATGGACATCAGGCTGTCATCCCAGAGGCCCCCGTCAGGAAGATCATGGGGTTCCCCTGCCTGGCTCACCACCCCTAGCTGTGGCTCTACCTCTCCCTTCCCAGACCAACTTAGCCCGTTCCAAGTCTGTGAGCAGTAGGTACTTGCGTTCCACGGGATTTGCCTTGGGAGGGCACCGTGGCACTGGAGAGCTGGGGACTGCACTGAGCTGCTTGGCACTCCGGCCTGAGTCACCCACTTTGAGATGTAGCACCTCTCTCTGTCACCTTGGGGGCTTTCCTGGACCCCTCACCCTGCTCAGCATACAGACAGAGCTCCTTACTTCCCATGGCTCCTTCCACATGATATCTGCCCAACCCTCTGGGCCTTTCTACTCTGATGACAAGACGGCTCATCACATACTGCTTTTGGGTTCTGGTCATGTTGGCCTCCAAAATCTGGGAAACACGTGCTTCCTGAATGCACTACTACAGCGTTTGAGCAGCACTTGGCCTTTTTGGGACTTCTGTCTGCAAAGGGACTTCTGGCAAGAGGTGCCTGGAGGGGGCCAAGCCCAAGAACTCACTGAAGCTTTTGCAGATGTGACTGGTGCCCTCTGCTACCCTGACTCCTGTGAAGCTGTGAATCCTACTCGATTCCAAGCTATCTTCCAGAAATATGTTCTCCTTCTCTGGATATAGCCATCAGGATGCCCAAGAGTTCCTGAAGCTCCTCATGGAGCGGCTATACATTGAAATCAACCGACGAGGCCGTCGGGCTCCACCAATCCTGGCCAATGGCCGAGCTCCCAATCCAGCCCTCCGAGGAGGGGCTCTGCTAGAAGAACCTGAGTTAAGTGATGATGACCAAGCCAACCTAATGTGGAAGAGTTACCTGGGGCAAGAGGACAGCAAGATGTGGACCTGTTTGTGGGCCAGTTGAAAAGTTGTCTCAAGTGCCAGGCCTGCGGGTATCGCTCTACGACCTTTGAAGTTTTTTGTGACCTGTCCCTGCCCATCCTCAAGAAAGGATTTCCTGAGGACAAGGTGTCTCTGTGGGATTCTTTCAGCCTTTTCACCAAGGAAAAACTAGAGTCAGAGAATGCCCCAGTGTGTAACTGATGTCGGCAGAAAACACGAAGTATTGTACAAAGATTCCTCCAAATCCTTGTGCTCCATCTGAATCGATTTTCTGCCTCCTGAGGCTCCATCAAGAAAAGTTCAGTAGGTGTAGACTTCCCACTGCAGTAACTGAACCTAGGAGACTTTGCCAGTGACAAAGTTGGAGGCCCTGTATACCAGCTGTATGCCCTTTGCAACCACTCAGGCAGTGTCCACTATGGCCACTACACAGCCCTGTGCCATTGCCAGACTGGTTGGCATGTCTACAATGACTCTCGTGTCTCCCCTATCAGTGAAAACCAGGTGGCATCCAATGAGGACTACATGCTGTTCTGCCAACTCATGCAAGTGCCACCCCAATGCCTGTGACATTCCCCTTTAGGCTCTGGCACCTGTTAAACCCCTTCAACACCCTTAAGCCCCAGGCTCCCCATTTACTTCAGAGACCTCTATTTTTGTGTCTTTTTAATCAGGGAGGGGGAGGGCTGGTTATAGCTCCCGTTATTTTTTTTTATTAAAAAGTACCCTTCCACATGGAGGCTCCCTTGTCTCCCAGCCCCATGTACAGAGCTCACCAGGCCCTGCCCATGTACAGCCCCCAGATCCTCTGCAATCTCACTTTTTGTGAATAAATTTATTAAGAAAAAAAATTATTACTGGGTATTTTTTTATTTTTATTTTTATTTTTTTTTAAAAGATGACCGGTAAGGGGATCTTAACCCTTGACTTGGTGTTGTCAGCACCATGCTCAGCCAGTGAGCGAACCGGCCATCCCTATATGTGATCTGAACACGGGGCCTTGCTGTTATCAGCACCGCACTCTCCTGAGTGAGCCACGGGCCGGCCCCGTGGGTATTTTTTTAAATTTGGGGTAATTATGAATGGGACTGAACACGGGGCCTTGCTGTTATCAGCACCGCACTCTACCGAGTGAGCCACGGGCCGGCCCCGTGGGTATTTTTTTAAATTTGGGGTAATTATGAATGGGACATCAGCTTCTTAGAATAGCATAAATACCTCCTATGGAGAAGGTGGAATCTAAAATAATAATACAGGAGGTACATATGTTCAACAAAAGATATGTGTTAGAATGCTCATAGTAGCCCTATTTGTAATAACTAAAAACTGGAAACTACCCAAATGCCTATCAATAGAATGGATAAATAATAAATTGTCTTATGTTCAAATGATGGAAACATTCAGTATCAAGAACAAATGAACAAACACACAAAACAGTATGAATGAATCACCCATAATGTTGAGCAAAAGAAACAAGATACTAAAGAGTAAAGTTAGATTTAGATAAAGTACAAAAACAGGCAAACCTAATTTCTGCTGTTAGAAATCAGGACAGTGGTTACCTTGGGAGGTGGGAGCATGAGGGGGCTTCCAAGATGCTAGCAATGTTCTGTTTATTGATCTGATGTGCTGGTTACACAAGTGTGTTCAGCTGGTGAAAATGGATTGATGTTTATATACATATACATTTGTGATTGTGTACTATACTTCAGTTAAAACGTTAATGATAGTAATAATTTAGGAAGAAAACACTGTGCCCTAGACTGAGTGCCATACTTTCTTACCTCCTGCAACCTTCCACTTACCTTGCCCAAAAGCTCTTCAAACTCTGGGGACCATTCCTCCATCAGCGTGTCAATGTCAGGCATGGGTCTAAAAGTATAGAGGTAAATATGAACAAGAAACTTGGACTGATGCCATCAGCAACCTTTGAATTAGGATATTCTAGGATGAAAGACAGGTCCTCAATGTGGCACATTAGGATTTCAGGAGAACCTAGATTGGACAAACCAAACTTACTCAGGATGTAGGGTTTGTAGGATGTGGCTAAGTAATGATACTAAAGAAATCACAATCTTTATATCTTTAACCTAAGCCAGCAGCTTCCAGGATCCATAGGACCTAAGGTTGATCATATATGTCCCAGCGTTTGGGCCTCTTCTCAGGAGCAATGGTTTACAGGTAGTAAAGGTTTCTATGAGTTACTGTAGTGAAGAACGTGGTATCTCTTACCTGGTGTAGTGCACAGTCGCAGGGGGCTTAGAACGGTGTAATTCAGAGATGCTCTCAATCCATGTGTCAATGGCTTTGGGATTCTTTTCTGCATCTTCCAGGCTCTTTACTTTCATATGTTGCTAGAAAAATAGACTGGCTGATGGCACTGAAATAGTTCTCTTGTTTTTATGAAGCAGCTTATCACACCTGCCGCTATTTCATACACAGGTAGATGATGAAAACCGAAGCCTAATAGAGCCAAATGAAGGTGACAGGAAACCCTGATAAAATTTGCTAGGCTATAACACCAAGATCAAGGGTTTGGATCCTGCAACTAGACAGCTGCCAAAAAAAAAAAATTTGCTGGGGGGCTGGCTGGTTAACCTAGTTGGTTAGAGTATGGTGTTGTAACACTAAGGTCAAGGGTTCAGATCCCTGCAATGGCCAGCCACCAAAAAAAAAAAAAAAAAAAAGCATTTGCTGGAGCCATGGGAAGGGGGCAAGTCAGCAAGTCAACAGGACAGGACTGACCACAATGAAATACCATTTCACACTTACTAGGATGGCTAGAATCAAAAAGACAGACAATAACAACTGTTGGTGAGGATGTGGAGAAACTGAAACTCTCATTCGTTGCTGGCGGAATTGTAAAATGACGCAGCCACTTTGGAAAACAGTTTGGCAGTTCCTCAAATGGTTAAACACAGAGTTACCATAAATGAAGCGGTTACCAGGGTTTAGGAGGGGAGGAAATGGGGAGTGACAATTAATGGGTACAGGGTTTCTTTCTGAAGTGATGAAAATATTCTGGATTACGTAGTGGTAATGGCTGCAGAGCTTTGTGAATATAAAAAAAAACAATGAGTTTACAATTTAAAAGAGTAAACTTTATGGTATGTAAACTATATCTCAATAAAGCTATCATTAAAAAGATAGGGCTGGCCTGAAGCCACAGCCATCCCTTTTGCTGGGCAGGAAGTCAACTGCGCAAATGCCAGTGAAACCTGCACTCTCAGCCCTCTCTAGCTGGGGCCTGTACCAGGCTAATATCTTACTGTGACATTGTGCTGCTTGGAATTCTCTGTTAACCAGAGAGAGAGCACTGTAGGGTCTGACTGTTTTGTAGAAGGTTCATCCAATACCAACAGGCCAAGGTTGTCAGGCTTTCCATCAGGACGTGGGACCTGTACAAGAAAAGGTAAGAAAGCACAGAGAAAAACAAGAGGGCCATAACAAGGCCACCTGCTGTTTCAATAAGCAGAACAGGAAGAACTCTTCTGGTTCATCAATATTACTAGTATTAAAAAGCATTCTTGTTTATCATGCTATACCAAATACTATCTGGAAAAAATATATAATCTATAGGAGCTTAAATATAAAGCTGAAGTAATAGATAATTAGGAGGCAAATACATGACAAATGTTTAATACATAATGAGATAAAGTATTACTTAACAGCAATGAGTATAATCTGGAGTGGGGAGCAAGGTTAAGAACTCCAGTGAAATGAAAAGTATATGTCAAGGTAGCCAAGGCTAGTCAAAGAAATCAGTGGAATTGTTAGCGTAATAAGAGGGTAAGAAGAAACATCTAAGGAGTCATTTTTAGGATGTACTGACTATACCTTTAAGAATGCATCAATATCCCCGACAGCTGGGATAAAATCAGGAATGAAAGGTTTCAGTTTGTGGTCCAGGTCAATCAACTGAGGTGTATACCTAGGAGATATTGCCCAGGGAAAGTGGAGATAGTCAGAGAAAGGTACCTACCTTACTATTCAGGCTAAAAAGAATCTGAGGATGGTCCTGTTTCAGACTAGAGGTAGAAAAGATTGGGGGCAAGGTAGGGATGGTGGGGCATGATGGGAGGTCCTAGTACTCACCTACTGATGTACTGAAAGAGTTCCTTAATCTCCACAGAAACTGGCAAATGCTCATAATCTGCAGGGTCATAGGCCCTGGGGAAAGGAAAATACCATGTGTTCAAGGTGGGCAGAGAAGAGTGGAGGTGGCAGAGCCCTGGGTCAGCCTGTGTGTTCTCTGACCACAGGGACATGATCCTAAATCTAGCTTTTGCCCCTCCCACATCTGCCTTTCCTGGTGGCTTGCAAGGCAACTTCAGAGTTGATTATAATTAGCTCTCAGTAGAAGCGTCAAATCACCTATAAGGGAGCCCCAATCAGGTTAACATCAGACTTCTCAGCACAAACCCTAAAAGCTAGAAAGGAATGGGATGATATATTCAAAATACTAAAAGACAAAGATTGCCAGCCAAGAATACTCTACCCTGCAAGGCTGTCCTTCCGAAATGAAGGGCAAATAGTATATTTCTCAGACAAACAAAAACTGCAGGAGTTCACCACCACACGACCACCCTGACAAGTAATTCTCAAGGGAGTACTGGGATTGGATCCCGGAAGATAATTACCACTCCCATAACAATCCAAGTAAAATAAAAACCCACTACTATAATAAAAATGACAACCATGAAAAGAAAACAAACGAACAAAATCATTAGCGGCAACCTCAGTAACCAACAAACACAGAAAACAAACAGCCAACAATCATGAAAAGAAAACAAAAAAAACACTAGCTGCAACCTAAGGAACCAACAAACACAGAAAACAAACAGCAAACAATCATGAAAAGAAAACAAAAAAAACACTA